CTCTGGGCCCTCTGGTCTCACCTCAAAGAGGGAGGCCTTTGGGGCGACCAGGTGAGCTGACCCTTGAGGGAGGATGTAACCGACTCCTGAGCCTGGCGAGCCAGGAAGCCCCTCGCCAGCATCCCCACTCCCACCTCTCCAGCCCCCTCATACCCTGATCCTCCCATCCGCTCCCCTGCCCCAGCAGTTTCCTCTGCTCACGCTCATCTCTTTTCCTGCTCCCAGGCTCGCCTGGTCACGTGTCCTTCACTCTCCTCTGAGTCTCCCTCTTTCCAAGCCGCTTCCACTCTACTTGACACATTCTCCCTTAAGACACCAGAGTACACAAGCTCAAGTCCCTGCACCTCACCTTTACTCCCAGACATGGGAGGGAGATGACACGAAGTCCCAAACGCCACTTGGCAAGAGATCTGGGGTATGCAGAGGGGCAGATCTGAGGCTGTGGAAGCTCCAGGGGCTCCCTGCAGGAGGCTGCATTTCAGCTGGCTATTGAGTGTGGCTCAGAGCTGGGACCTCTCCTTGAAGCTCCAGACCAGGAGCCACCTGCCAGCTGGACCCTCCATTTGGTGTCTCCGAGAAACCTTGCACTCTGTGGGTGTAACTCTGAACAGAACATCCCCCCATCTCAGTCCTGTCTCTTCTTAGGGAAAGCCCATGACCCAGTTGTGCACCAAACCCACACTTGAGTCAGGGGCTCCTGCGCCGCACTGTGAGCGCTCTGGATAAGCCAGTGCCGAGGGGGAAAGAGCTCTGAATGTCAAACCATGAGTTTCAACTCCACTTCCAGCTCTGAGAGCTGTGGGCAGGGAAGGGCCCTAGTCCAGTGTGCTGTAGAAAGACCAGTCTGCCACTGTATGGCACATGGATGGCGGGGGCAGAGTGCGGGTGGAGAGACCAGGAGGTGGACAGGGCGGAGGAGGCAGGGACATGGCTGTAGCCGTGGAGATGGGAGGACAGACAGGACTTGGTGGCCACTTGAATGAACCGAGGGAGGAGTCTGGAAGAGACACCCAGTTTTGTATCAGATGTGTGGAGCATGGGATGCTGTTCATTGATCGAGGGAGGAGGAGGAGGAAGAGGTGTGGCATGGGAGGAGGTAACTGAGCTCTGTCATGAGTGTCATTGGAGGTTCCCAGGGAGAGCCAGGCCCGCCAGCGCCTTCACTGCTTCAGCCGGCCCTCGGGGTGACTGTGCTCCCTGGCCCTCTCAGTTCCCACTTTGTAGCTGTCAGCTGCAGTGGGGGACAGCTGCTCAAGGGTCCAGCATGTCTGTGTGTTTAGCCAGGGGACTGCGGAATGGCCCATGCAGAACAGAAGCTGATGGATGACCCTCTGAATGAAACCCGTTACAACAACCTGATCCGCCCAGCCACCAGCTCCTCACAGCTCATCTCCATCGAGACGGAGCTCTCCCTGGCCCAGTGCATCAGTTGGTAGGTGCAGAGGACACCTGTGGCTCAGGTTCAGGTGAAGAGGCAGCTCATGCCCAAGCCCCAGGCAATCAGTGTCCAGAGGAATGAAATGACTAGAGTTGACTTAGACTCACCAATGCATCGCAGGGAGGCTGGAGGAGGGTCCATGAGGTTTATAGGTTTCCAATATTTAATGCGGTCATGGTTTTGTTAAAGAAGAAACGAGGGTGGGAGCGGGATCACCACTGGCCAGGCAGCCAATGGGCCTGCATAGACTCTGCTCCGCTGAGTCTCCAGCACCACCATAAGCTTCTCCTCCTCATCCTCCCAGCCCCACCCTACTCTGTCCCCCAGCTTGCTCAGCAGGTGACCTTACAGGCTCCCTACTTGTTGGGGGAAATAAGAACCAGACTGGGGGAACTGATGGGTACAGAGGCCCAGGTGTAGGGGCAGGACCCCAGGCAGTGCAGCCTCTACTGAGCCAGGAGGGTGAGGGTCTGGAGAGTGGGCATGGCTGCTGCAGGCATGGAAAGGAGGCGCAGGTGGCGGCACTCCCAGGGACCACCGTCAGGGTCTCCATATGTGGATGTGTGCAGAGGTGGGTGCTGAGGGAGGAGGTGCAGGGAATTTCTCAGCTTCTCTCCACTGCCTCTGAGTTGGAGATGTCAGAGGGAGCCATGGCCCCTCTGTGTAAACTAACACAATGTCCCCACCCACAGGGTTAGAACCCCTCCCCTGGAAGCGGCTCTGAGGGGAGCAGTCACATGTGGAGAGTGCAGGGCGCTGTGTCCAGCCAGGGGAAGGAGGTCACCAAGGGGGTTGACCCTCCTCTGGCCAGGTGGCTGCCTTCTGACACAGCAGCCTCTCTCTCTAGCACGGTGGCCCCCACACACCCAGCCTGTCAAACCTACAGCCCTCAAGAAGGCTTTGGCCAGATTAATGAACAGCTCCCTCTCCTAGGAGGAAGCACAGCTGAAGGATGATGAGCGCAGTAGAGTTGTGTATGCTCCACCCCCCACCCCTCCACAGTTGGACCTGAAAGAAGGGGACTTTCAGCCAGGCTCTCCCAGGCTGGGGTCTGAGTGTCACTCTCCAGCTATTGGCCTCTTGCTTAACGGGTGAGCCCAGCTGCTCCTGTGCAGCTGCCACCCTAGTGAGGGTGAACCAGCAGGCGAGTGACATTTCTGATAGTTTGGGGATACAGGAAAGATTAGGCTGTGGGCTGCGCCAGAAAGGGGTGTTTATTTTCAGGGTTTATCTACTGACTTGACGAGGGAGGGTTATAGGTACAACCAGTTTAAAGATGGAAATTTTGAGAGAGCAGACAGGGACTTAGTGCTGGGTAAGGCAAGCAGGCTTGTCAAAGCAGCTCTTTTGGGGAGACCACAATCCTGCACCAATGTCGTCAGCAGGTTCATCAGCTGCTGGGGGAGTGCCGGACAGGGTTAAAGCACAGGAGAACTTTCTGGATGATAGGAATATTCTATATCTTCAAAGGAGGTGGGATACATGGGTAATGCATTTGTTGAAATTCATCAAAATATACCAGATCTGTGCATTTCACTGAAGACAAATTAACCTCAAATTAAAAACATTTTTTAAAAGAGAGATGGGCCGGACGCAGTGGCTCACGCCTGTAATCCCAGCACTTTGGGAGGCCAAGGCGGGTAGATCACCTGAGTCAGGAGCTCGAGACCAGCCTGGAAAACATGGTTCAATCCTGTCTCTATTAAAAATACAAAAATTAGCCAGGCATGGGGACACAGGCCTGTAGTCCCAGCTACTCGGGAGACTGAGGCAGGAGAATTGCTTGAACCCAGTAGGCGGAGGTTACAGTGAGCAGAGATCACACCAGTGTACTGGAGCCTGGAAAACAGAGCGAGACTCCATCTCAAAAAAAAAGACAGATGAAGGTTTTCAACTTTCACTAAAGGCAGAGTAGCTTGTTATAGATTAGCCTCTCCACAAAAGCAGTTAGAGAAACTGGACAAAAATGTGCCCCCACCACCAAAACAACTGTTTGAAGGTAATTGGAGACCTCAGTCAGGACTTGAGTGACCAGGCCTAGGAGGTGACCCTGACAGTCTGTAGTGCTTTTCCCACATTTGGTGATTGGTGAACAGTAGAGGCCTAAGAGGTTAAGAAACTGAGTCTGAAGTGGTGGTTAAGAGGCTGGAGAGCCTAGCTGAATGTTTGGCATTCACAGGGCTGAAATGACCTAATGAGAATTTGGGTCCCAGTAAGGAGATGGGATCTTGGTGGGAACCCTGGAAGGGTCACCCCTAGGAGTCCAAATGAATAAAAAATAGACCAGCCGTCACAAAAACTAAAGCCTGCTTTGAAACAGCTTAATCCCAAACTAGATGAAGGTGATCTGCCCTTACTCCAATTGTGTGCCATAAAGTCAAAGTCAATACTCTCTGGAGGCAGATAAAAGTTTACTAGGAACGCCATAAGAAAAGACAAGACTAAATGAGAAAGAACAAGAAAAAAAAAACAATAGAAACATACAAGAAAAAAACCAATAGAAACATACAAGAAAACAACCAATAGAAACATACATGTAAGGAAGATAAGGAAGAAACTTTTTTTTTGTTATTTTGTTTTTCTTTTTTTTTTTTGGAGGAGGAGTCTCGCTCTGTCACCCAGGCTTGAGTGCAGTGGCACGATCTCAGCTCACTGCAACCTCTGCCTCCCAGGTTCGAGCGATTCTCCTGCCTCAGCCTCCCAAATAGCTGGGATTACAGGCATGCGCCACCATGCCCGGCTAATTTTTGTATTGGCCAGGCTGGTCTGGAACTCCTGACCTCAGATGGTCCATTTTCCTCAGTCTCCAAAATTGGTGGGATTACAGGCATGAACCACCGCGCCTGACCAGTATTTTGCCACAATTTAAAATAAATAATTTTTTTTTTTTTTCAAGTTTGGGCTCAGACTATATTCTAAACAGTCACATGGCGGCTGACTCTTCTCCAGGCCTTGCTGCCGGCTTTTACATGTTTATTGTTTTTGCCTTCTTGTCACGTGCTCGGTAGATGGCAGCTTCCAGGTGCTCCTAAGGGGCCAGAAAAGAGAGTGAGAAGGCACGGAGGCTGCCAGGTCGTCCCCCTTGGGGTCCCACCCTCATCAACTCCCTCAACTGGGTCTCCTGCAACTATTCGGGGGCCACCTCGGCCACCGCTTTGCCCTGAGCTTCCTGCTGCTGCAGCTGGGCAGAGCCTCCTTCTCAGAGGCCAGCTGCTGATAGGTGGCCACGTACTGCTGCAGGGGACCCAGGGAATGGTCTGGCTGCTGCTGCAGACTCTGAGGCTATTGGCTCTTCAGCTCCACCTGCAGGATAGGCGTCAGGGTAGGCAGTGGCTGGCTTCCAGATTCTGGGCCCATAAACAGGGTGGCGAGGGCACAGTGGGGCTGTGTTATCTGCCAAGGCACCTGGCCCCTGGCCCCTTCCTCCAGGCCTAAGTGACTGCCTCCCTTGCCTAGAGGCCCATGCCTCCCTCCCCAGCCTCAAATCTCACACCCTTCTTTCCACCATTGAAGCTGTAGGCCACAGACTGGTGGAAAAGCAGAGAGAGCCAACCACCATCTGCTAAGTTGTGGTGAGGTCGTTCTGTATGATCTCCAGGGTTTGCACCCACCTCCGCCTGCTCCCCCAAAGCTCGGCCTTCCGCCCCAGCTCCCCCAGCCTCTCCTCCAGCTCCTGCAGCCTCACCTCCTGCTTCTGCATCTTCTCCTCCAGCTGCCACAGCCTCATTTCCTGCTCCTGCATCTTCTCCTCCTGCCTCTGCATCTTCTCCTCCTTCTCCCGCATCTTCTCCTCCTGCCTCCACATCTTCTCCTCCTGCTCACGTATCTTTTGCTCCTTCTCCCATATCATCTTCTCCTTCTCCCACAGCTTCTCCTCCTGCTCACACATCTTCTTCTCCTGCTCCCACAGCATATCCTCCTTCTCCCCCAACTTCTCCTCCTGCTCACACAGCATATCCTCCTTCTCCCCCAGCCTCTCCTCCTGCTCACACATCTTCTCCTCCTGCTTCCACATCATCTCATCCTGCTCCCGTATTATCTCCTTCTGCTCCCGTATCTTCTCCTCCTGCCTCCACATCTTCTCTTCTTGCTCCTGCCTCTTCTTCTCCAGCTCCCGTATCTTTTCCTCCTGCTTGTGCATCTTCTCCTCCTGCTCCTGTATCTTCTCCTTCTGCTCATGCATCTTCTCCGCCTGCTCCCGTATCTTCTCCTCCTGATTGTGCATCTTCTCCTCCTGCTCCCTTATCTTCTCCTCCTGATTGTGCATCTTCTCCCCTCCTGCTCCTTATCTTCTCCTTCTGCTCATGCATATTCTCCACCTGCTCCCGTATCTTCTCCTCCTGATTGTGCATCTTCTCCGCCTGCTCCCGTATCTTCTCCTCACATTTGTGCATCTTCTCCTCCTGCTCAGTATCTTCTCCTCTGATTACTGTTATCTTCTCCTCCTGCTCCCTTATCTTCTCCTCCCTGATTGGCATCTTCTCCGCCTGCTCCCTTATCTTCTCCTCCTGATTGTGCATCTTCTCCGCCTGCTCCGTATCTTCTCCTCCTGATTGTGTGCATCTTCTCCCTCCTGCTCGTATCTTCTCCTCCTGCTCGTGTATCTTCTCTTGCTGCCTCCACATCTTCTCTTCCTGTTGCTGGTACAGGCGGTTCCACAACTTGTTCTCTTCCACCTGGGCTTGGAGCTTCGCTGACACACTCTGAAGCTCCTTACCCAGGTGGTCAGCCTCCTCCTGCAGCTGCTGCTGGAATAGTGAAAGTGTTGGTTTGAACCTCAGAAGGAAACAGACTCATGGGATAGTCATCTAAATGTAATCTATCAAACAATGGTTTTCACCCATGATCCTTTAAAATATATATTTTTAAGCCCTAACTCTGAGATTCCGATTCCCCAGGCAGGGCCCCACTTTTGTAGATTTTTAGTACACTCTAGAGGATTCTATGGCGGGACCAGAACAAGGACCCAAATCTTCTAGCTCGTGACTGGAGCCTCCCCATACCCTGCATGATCCCTAGACCATGGTCCCAGCCGGACGGGGATCCCACAACCCCGGGGGCTGTAGCCGCTTGCCTGTGGCAGCAGGAGCTTGGCCTTCTCCAGCTTCCTTTCTAGCTCCTTTACATTGAGCTGGATCTCAGACTTCTCAGATTCTACAAGTCGAAGTTTTTCTTGTAGTTCGGCATTTTTCTCCTTCAGCTCATCATCGGTTATGCTACGACCAGAGGCAGTAGATAAAGGAATGAACGAAGAACAGAAAGGACTGCTTTGGTGATCAACCCTCTGCTTTCACCCCACAACCACAGAACCGTGGCATTGGATGGGACCCCAGGAATTTAAAGCCCCAGGTGGCAGGCCAGAGAGAAGACATGAGTTGCCTGAGGCTACCCCATGAGTCAGTGGCACAGCCGGCACTAGAGCTTCCCTGTGCACACATGAAAACCTGTATGAGCCTCTCACCATGCTCACCTGTACCCCCACCTCCCAGCACACCCCCCACGCTAAGAGCCCCCAGACCTCCCATCCCACCGTCCCCCATCCTACGTGTTCCTGTACAGTTCCAGACTCAGGGCGTCCCTCTCCTTTGTTAACTCCTCGATGTACTGCAAATAGAGAAAGGTGAAGTCAGGATAGAGCAGGCAGAGGAGCGGCTGGCCGACCAGGAACAACAGCCACCGTGACCACTCCACACACCACTCCCCACTCCCAGTCACACCTGACATGCTCTCAAGGCACTTCCAAGCCCAGGATCTCCTTTGGTTTTTTGTTTTGTTTTGTTTTGTTTCTTTCTTACTTACTTTTTCTTTTTCTTCAGGCAGAGTTTGACTCTTGTTGCCCTGACTGGAGTGCAATGGCGCAATCTCAGCTCACCACAACCTCCGCCTCAGCCTCCCGATTAGCTGGGATTATAGGCATGTGCCACCACACCCGGCTAACTTTGTATTTTGAGTAGAGATGGGGTTTCTCCATGTCCGTCAGTCTAGTCTTGAACTCCCAACCTCAGGTGATCCGCCAGCCTCGGCCTCCCAAAGTGCTGGCATTACAGGCATGAGGCAGAGCACCTGGCCCTCATTTGTTTTTCAAAGAACTCAGTAAAGGTGGAAGGGACAGGGAAAGAAACTGAATTCATAGCTGGCTAGCAGGGGCCCTGAGACATCAGATGGTATTGCTATTGTTCTTACTGTTACTACTACCACTGTTGGAACCTTTACTGACTGCTTCACCAGGCACTGCACTAACAATCCCATTTAATCCTCACAACCTCCATAGGAGACGGTTACCATTATTACCTCTATCGTATAGATGAAAAACATGGGGTATTGAGGGTTAAGTGCTTGCCTAAGATCACGTAGAGCTGGGTTTTCAACACCCAGGTATGTCTGATTCTCTAAGCCCATTCTTTCACTGGGGGTAGGGGCAAAGATAAGAAGGAGGAAATTAATCATTTGTTGACATTTTGAAAGGATGATACATTCGAATCGTCCAAAACTCAAAGTACAGAAGGGAAATATCTCCCCCCAACACTGTTCCTCTCTCCTGAGATGTTTATGAATCCTTACAAACCTGTTTATTGTATATTCCCATAATACACACACACACACACACACACATACACAGGCTCCCTCTCTCAACACAAATAATAACATACTCAAGCTACTCTTCTGTACCTTGATGGTATAAGTATCCTAACTGCCACTTGGGACTTGGCCAAGGCCACAGTCAAATATGGGCAGGGCGGGCACTTGGCCTGCGAGCTCTATGTCCAGTGCTCACTCCCCACGGCGCCCCCCAGCTCACCCACAGCAGCCGACTCAGCCCCCGTCAGCCTCTAACCACCACACACAAAAGCAGCAAGAAATGGCCATGCTGCGTTCTGGGCAGGACACTCCATCCTGCAGAAGGGACTTTTAGGCTCACTCCTCCATCTGTGAAGCCGGGTTCCCAGGGGATGGGGCAGGTGGTTGGACTCACCCTGTCAGCCGCCTTCTTCTGTGTAGCAACAGCAGAGAGATCCCGCTCTAAATCTCTTGCAAAGTTCCATGAATCATGCAGGCGGCTGACCAGATGCCTGGACTCTCCTGGAATGACAGACATTCAGATGCGGCCCAAAGGATTCCCCCTAAAGGCCTGTGAAAGTGCCAGGTTGAAGGATGACCGGGTGCCAGATTCCCACCTTCCAACTGCTGGACAGCACACTGGCTGTAATAGAGTGCCGTCTGAAGCTCGGTTTTCTCACATGTAAGGATTCGTATGGTATGAACCTGGGCCTTTGGGAGAAAAGACAAGCAAGTGCTGAAAGAGAAGCAAAGAAACCTTCTCCAGAGGACAGGAGGGAACTTCACACCTTCCACTCACCTCTAGCTCCCTCCTTAGGGCTTCCTGATGTTGGTGGCTTGCCTTCTTTTCCTATAGAAAGAGGAAGACAGAGCTCTTACTAGGGGGAGGCAGAGATGGCACAGCAAGAGATGCCCCCAGAACGGCACCACTGCCCCAGGACAGGCCCACCCATGGGACCAGGTTATCAGGGACCCTGTGTGGACGGGGTGGGATCCGGGGGGTGAGCCTTCTTCCCCAGGCTGGGAGTGGGCAAGATGAGACTGGGGCCTCTACGGCTGAGTGCCCTCCAAACCCAGCAGTCATGTGAGCAAACAAAGAAATCACGTTACTTCTTCCAGCTGGGCTCGGTTCTGTTGTTTCTGTGGGGAGAGTCAAAGGAAGGTGACTGAGGGTGGCCCCTTCAACTCTATTCCCCAGGCCAGGAAGCGGTAGGCAGGGGCCAGGGATGGATTTTAAAGGTAGTTCTGAGACCCAATGGGAACACGAACTGGTAAACTCTCCTCAACTCCCAAAGTAAAAGGACTTGGGTCTTTGTTGGTTTTTGGCCACAGCCACAGAACTCAAAGTCTGAAACTAGATTCTCTCAAAAAGACAGTCACAGAAACCTTCAGAGATGGAGTGTGAGAAGAGCCCACCCTTCTGCCAGCTTGTGATTTAGAAAGGTGCATTCATTCAACAAACATTGAGTGAGCACATACGGGCCAGGGACGGTTCTTCACAGCGCGGATATAGGACGGAAAAGGCAGATAGGAACCCTTGGTCCCGAGGTTTCCATTCTAGTGGGCCTTTAACTCTCGGGCTCTCAGAGCTAACAGACAACTCTGATACTCTCTAACTCTACCTCAGGAAACGCAAGCCCGAGAAGGAGAGTTTACAGCAGGCCGTGGACTAGGGATTAACATAAAAACAACAATGATAAATCTCATGTAAACTTCACCAATGTAGGTAAAACCACACCACTCCTATTTTACGATGTGAAAAGAGAGGCCCAAAGAGCTCCAGGAATTTGCCCTATATCATATGCCCAGCAGATGGAGAGGATTCAAACCCAGAATTCTTAAGCAGTACCTGGGAGTTCTTCCACAATCTTAACAATTACCCTCCACCACCCCTTGGGCCCTCTGTCCCCAGGAGCCTGGCCAGCCAAGACTCACATCCTCAGGTGAGTGGCAACCACCAGAAGTGGTTGTCTCAGGGTTAGCACCATTATTGATGTTCTTCTTTTTGGTGTCGCTTGCTCCTGTACCAACACTAGGGTTGGCCTGGGGATGGTAGTCTCTCAACTGTGGAAAGGAAGAGCAGTGATACTCATGAGAACTATAAACTCCTCCAGTCACATCCTGCTTTACAGTTTATACAAAATAGTCTTATGCACCATCTGATTTAATGCCACCAACAACTGTAGGAAGTGTTGTCACAATCACTTAGTGACTGAGAGGGATTGATACCATGGCTGAACAGAAGGCAATAATGGAACTTAAACTCAGTCTTCTGACTCTGAGCTCTGGGATTTTGCCACAAATCGGCAGCTGCCAGGGACCAAAACCAGAGGCAGAGGCAGAAAAGCAAATATTAAATAGGCAGGAACTGTACACTGTGTGGTTTAGAGTCATACACCCTCACACGTCTGTTAGTGTGAAGAAGTGCACCACTACCTCTCAAACTTTTATATTAATGTATGCTCATGGCAGAAGGCTGCCTTTCTGTGAATCCTGGGAATTTAACAGAAAGAGGACAACCCAACCCTCACTTCAGAGAGGAGTCTTGTATACTCTTATACATCTATGTGACTGTCTCCCATAAGTACATTAATGTTTTGTCTCTCAGTAGACTCAAAGGAAACTGATGCTTCAGAAAGATGCCCCGTATTTATCCTGTGGCACTCGAAGTACCCCAGGTGGAGATGAGATGAGGAAAATTCAAGCTGTCAAGTTCAGTTTCCCAAGATCTATTCCACAGAAGATAGGCAGATCTCACTGCAGAAACCACTGACTGAGGGGCACTCTGGTCCCAGAACAATACAGAATTCAAATCTGAGGTGGAGAACTCAGAAACAATGTTCGAGTCTCTCTGGAGAGTAGAAGCCTGGGAGAAAATCAAACTAAACCCATTCTCCCGTTGCCACCCAGAACACTGTCAATGTGTTGAGCTCATGGGGGAGGTGTAGGCTTTTCACACTGTCAACGTCTGTGTTAAGGGAGTAAGGCAGCCTGAAACCTCTCTCTCCTAGGTCCCACAGTCCCCAATCCCCTTCCAGCTGGAAACCTGTGCTACAACCGGAGGAACCAGAAATGGGCAAGAACACTTAGGGGACTGGGTCCTAAGAGCAAAGACCGGTCTCGTGGCAGTAATGACAGTTCCTAGAGGGACTGTGACATCACTACATTCCACTCCTCGGTGGAGTGGTGGGGGGGACACATGAGTGCAATGCCCAAGTTGCCATTTTGAGATAGGGGAGAGGGGGTCACAGGATTGGGACCCAGGTCCTTGGAGATGCAAGCCCAAAGAGCCCAGGGAGGTCAGGCTTTGGGTGGCGGGAGGTGAGGCCCGAGTATGGAGCAGGGAGCCCCAGGAGTCACCTGTCCAAAGTGACCATGGGGCAACTGGTGAGGGCAGGTTCTGGGGCACCCAGGTCCTTGGAGACGTGAGCCCAAAGAGCCCAAGGAGGTCGGGTTTGGGGTAGCAGGAGGTAAGGGCAGAGTATGGAGTGGGAAGCCCTGGGAGTTACCAGCTCACAGTCTCCCTGGGGTGACTGGTGAGGGCAGGGGCAGGACTCATGAGAGGTTTGGGCTGGCCCGCAAGATTTTGGCGTGGGGAGCCCAGGGGCACTGGGGGGTTCCCAGCCTGGTGTGCCTCAGCAGTGGCACAGACTCTGGCAGCAGCTTGACTGTCAGAGGGCGCCTGGGGCTGGGTTGGGGTGCCGCAACCTGGTGCGTTTTACCTTTTCCTTGGCCTTGGCCAATTTGATCGCTCGGGTTTCTTCGGACATCATGGGATGGGTAGGGCAGTGGGGTTGGGGCCACATCAGCACAATCCAGGCGAGGACAACTATACACCTCCAGTCACCTACCAGGTAGCTGTGTGACTGAGCCAGAGGAGGCGTAACCAGGGCCACACTAGAATGCAGAATAGGGGCGTGGCCTTAATGCTTCAAGCCTATTGGTCAATGAGAAAGATGAAAGGGGAAAGAGGCGTGGCCAGACAGCAGCCTGTCCTGAAGAACCTGTGATGTCACAAGGAAAGCCGCCATGGAACCGCTGTCCCCGCCCACTCCAGGAGAGGGGCGAGGCTGTCTTTCACTTTAAAAACTTTAAAACTTTATTACCTCAATTGAGATGCAAATCCTATTATAATGGAAATTTTGTAGTGTGCTTGATGATTGATAAAGCAGACTATATTATCCAACATTCCACTAAGATAAATAATCACAATGATTTTTCTTTTTTGGAAAAACTTTCTCTTATTCTCCTACATTATTGTTAAGGGTTTTATGTTTTTTAAAAAGAAAAAGAAAAAGAAAATAAGAAACATGTCTAATACCTTTAAAAACACAAAGCTTGTGAGCCAGGTGTGGCGGCTCATGCCTGTAATCCCAGCACTTTGGGAGGCTGGGGCGGGTGGATCACCTGAGTTCAGGAGTTCAAGACCAGCTTGGCCAACATGATGAAACCCTGTCTCTATTAAAAATACTAAACTAGCTGCGCATGGTGGCAGGTGCCTGTAATCCCAGCTACTTGGGAGGCTGAGGCAGGAGAATCCCTTGAACCTGGGAGGCAGAGGTTGCAGTGAGCCAAAATCATGCCATTACACTTCAGCCTGGGCTACACAACAAGACTCTGTCTCTAAATACATACATACATACACACACACACACACACACACACACACACACACGGAAAGCTTTCCATTTAATAAGCACTCAAAGTTCTTTTCAAGTTTAAAACAAATACAGGACCCTGTAAAGTAAGGCTAAATGCTAAGTGATGGAGGAGAGAAAAAGGACATAAATAAATCCTACTCTCATGAGGTTTATCACTAAATCCTATTTTTCTAGAATCACCTGGCCTCTCTCAGCCCTGAAAATGAAACTACATTTCTCACTTGATACTTGGCTATGACTTGCAATCATGAAAACCAAGAGTTGCGTTCTGTCACTGTGTAGTGCTTGCTACCTGGGATCAAGGGTTGACTTTTTCATGATTTGCTCCATTACCTGTGTGCTTCTTATCCCAGACCAAAGTAAGCTTTTTTCTAAAGTTCTACAATTTACAGTTAGTAGATAGGAGTGCTTCTCAAAAACATAGTCTCTGAACCAGGAGCACTTGGGAATGTCTTACAGATGTAAATTCTCAGACCCCTCCCTAGACCTGATGAATCAGAAACTCTGGAGTAGGGACCAGCAATCCAGGCTGCAATAAGCCCTCCAGGTGTTCAGGAACCGCTGGCATACAGCAGGTAGAAAAATGTGTTTCCTTCTGTAGGTCCAAAGCCAGGGATACTATATGTTCTGTCTCGATATGAAACAAAGACAAGCAATTAAAAGACATAAATCTCCTTCCTACTTCCATCCTCTAGCCAGTGTGTTTTATTTTTATGAGTTCAAATAGAAAGCGAATGGCAATCAGAGATTTCGTCTAAAAAGTATGTTTACAAGTATCAGTTCTCATCCAGCCTGATCTCATCTAGTACTATTTATATCCTCTTATATGTAATATTGTAGAAAAGGACCTTCACAATGTAAGACTCGGGCACACTGGGAGTTCTATGATAAAAGACCAACTAGATCTGAATGTCCAAACTTACTAGAGAAGAAAAGTGGAATCACTGGCTATATTTTCAAATTGCATTCAACAGGAAATTAAAGTTTGGAATTGTTTTCACCTTCATCCTTCCATGTTAATAGAATTCAACCAGAACACTCCATTCTTCCAAAGCCTCTAGCCAGGCAACATTTTATTGTATTACTTCCTGCTTTTCAATGGATACCAAGCAGAGTCCTGGTAGGCACATTTTGTACACCTGCAAAGATGCAAAACTTAACAGGTCCCTCTGTTCGATATTAAAACAAACGTCCTGTAAACCTCAGATGGTGAGTGTAATACTTCAGCACTAGCATGAAAGCCTCAAATATAAAAAGATACCAAGAACACTACTAGCAAAAAAAGTAAGCTCTTAGCCGGGAACACTAGTTCACGCCTGTACTCCCAGCATGTTGGTAAGCCAAGGTGGAGTCAGTCAGGAGTTCAAGACCAGCCTGGGCAGCATAGCGAATTCACATCTCTACAAAAAACATTTAAAAATTAGCTGGGCATGGCGGCACACACCTGTAGTCCTAGAGCTACTTGGGAGGCTGAGGTGGGAAAATCGCTTGAGCCCAGGAGTTTGAGGCTGCAGTAGCTATGATCATGCCATTGCACTCCAGTCGGGGAGACAGAGTGAGATCTAGATATTACATTCTGTCCTGCTCCTGTTTCCACTAAAATCACTAAGTTAAAACGTTTTCATTCAGCGGATAAAAATTAAGTGAAATGTGACTTTGGTGTTGGGCTAGCAAAAAAAAAAAAAGAGAGAGAGAAAAATAAAGCGAAATGACAAATTACTTACTGGGAGAAAATCTTTGTAACCTGAATGACAGATAAAAGGTGTGTATCCGTAGCCTATAAAGAAATCTTTAAAATTATTCAGAAAAAAATGAATGATTTCCAGCAGAAAATGGGCAGTGGAGAAACCGACACTTCCCATGAAAATAAAAATGGCCAATGAGCTTATGAAAAAGATTCAAAAGCACTAGAAATCAAAGAAATGTAATGAAAACAATGAGATGTTCTGCTTAAAGACCAGCAAAGGTGACAAATGGAAGGGGGAACCTGGAGCTCCGTCCCTGTTGGTGGAAGTATAAACTGAACCAATTTTCCTACAGGATAATTTGAACATTTCTTTTAAAAATCCTAAAACTGTTTTATATTATTTTCCTCCATATATTCTACTTCTATGAATTCATCGCAAAAATCCTTGCTCGGGTTCATTAAAATGATATAGAAGGAAATTCAACTCTAGGGTGGCAACGATTCACTTAACATACATCCAGCTATTAAAAATGATGATGCCAGGATATAATTCTCCCATAGAAACATGCTGAAAATATAGTCAGCGACAAAAGACCATATATTATGATTCTACTTTTTAAAATGTTTACATGCATAAAAAAGTGTAAAAAGGAACCAGAATGTTTTGAGTGGAAAAATTAAAGATTTTTCTCTACATTTTGTCATCCAAATTATTACACAAAGAATGTGATTTCCTTTATAATCAGGGAGAAGTGTTGTTTTCATTTATTTATATTTATAT